GTTAACTTGGTAAATGTTGTGTGTTCCAGAACACACTGATCTACAGTTCAGGTTGCATCTAAAGGATGCATAGGTTTTTACATAGAGCATTTTACTGAAACACACTTCATCAATTATTGCTTAACTTTGTAACTTTCTCCCTATACCAAATTTGCACTAGTCTATCATCACACTGTTTTCACTGGCTCTTTCCCAAGGTTTTAAAGGCAGGGGCAGGGGAAGGAGGAGGTGTAGGAAGGAAAAAGAGAGAGCTCATGTCTGAATTTGCCAGTATGTGACTGAATCCTGTCTGAAATTAGTGACAGTCTCGATGTGCCCTCAGGGACACATTGCAGAATACACCTGCAAAGAAAACATGCAGGAAAGACTCTTATTGAGTTAGCTGGTATAGGCTGCATATGGCAACTATTGACAAGATGGAACATGTGCAGAGGAGAGTGACTAAGATGATAAAAGGGTCTGGAAACCAAGCCTCATGAAGAACGGTTGAGGAAGTTGGGTATGTTTAGCTGGGATAAGAGGAGACTGAAGAGGAGGTATGATAGCCATCTTCAAATATTTAAAGGGCTGTCACAAGCAAGATAGAAGAAGCTTGTTTCCTCCTGCTCTGGATTCAGGTTAGAAGAAAGGAGATTCTGACTAAAGATCAGGAAGAACTTTCCGACGATAAGAACTGTTTGACAGTTGGAGGTTTTTTAACATAGGTTGGATGGTCATCTATCACGGATGATCTCGTTGAGATTCCTGCATTGCAAGGGGTTGGACTAGATAACCCACCGGGCCCCTTCCAACTCTACAATTCTGTGATTCTATGAGTCTAAATTTGCAGTGGGAAATCCTTCACTCCTCAGATTCTCCAGACTGAGTCAAAAAGTTGATCTATTTTTCTCATACAATTCCTGAATGAGAAGACTGAGCTACTAACTAAGAGGGTCATGAGTCCTTAGAACTAGCATATACAATACAAACACAGTAACAAAAGAAAAGAACAAAAACTTACAAATCTGGAAATTGGTTCCCTTAGTATAAAAGATGATTATACAATTTAACCAAATTGACCCATCTGACAATACATTTATTGCATATTAAACTATATCTACTATATAAAATAAAATTACAATGTTCAGACTTTTCTACATAACAAGGAATTAATACATCAAAAACTGAAGACTAACAAATATTTGATCCAAAGACAAACCTGATGTCATGAATGGAAAGTACTCATTATATCACTACCAGGGGTGCCAACCTGAATAAAATGTGGGGGGGGGGGAGGTAAGCCCTGCCCCACATAATTGATCACATGACACAGTGCACACACAGTACTTGAATGGCAATGCCCATTCTAGGTATTGACGACATTCATTTATGTGCTCTACTAAATCTTTTCCTTTCCAAATCATTTTATTGGTTATTGGGGTAATGCAAAAAAGCAGAAAATTTATATTAAAATGTTAGGCTTGACAAAATGCCTACCTTCATAGTCTGCCAATTTACCTGTTCAAACTGCTAGCCACTGGGATGGGGAATGAATCAGCTGAAAAGATTTCTCTTTTCCAGAGAAACAATTGTGAGCCACACCACACATTTTATTTAATCTGAACCCAATAAATGTTCAGTATTTAGATGTGAGAACAAGATGTATACGCAGGAGTTTTAAAAATTGCCACATACAGTTTACAGCAATATATATGGTTTTAGCTAATCTGGATTATGGACACTCTGATACTAAATCTGTACTTGTCCAAACCTGACCTAGATGACAGAGTCCCAAGGTATTTCAGAGGTTCCTCTTGCTCCTGTTGGCTTTTTCCGAACACTGGAATGTCAAAGCGCAAGCCACTTCACTTCCCACCCAGTTAATCAGAATCTTATGCAAGCCAGTTGCAAGTGTGTTCCTTTCTGCTGGAGGTGAGGTGACAACAACAAAAGGAAGGTATTTGTGTTTTTAGTGAATCTGGATTAGGGACACCCTGATTTTAAATCTGTGCTTCTACAACCTGGGCAGCAATGTGAGAAACCTTTATTAGGACCAACCAAAATGTCACAAAATAGTGAGCAAGCTTTTGAGTTCTCCAGAACTCTTAATCAGGCTAGATATTAAGCAAAGTGGAGCAGGGTTGAAGCTGGCTTGTTCATTGGTGTGTATTGGTCACAGATAGCATGTAGGAAGAAGTTGCAGACTTAGTTGGATTAGGCTCTTCTGGGCATTATGCAGTTTTCAAGTGACACCAAGAGATGACTGGACAAAGAAATTCTCATTCCTGCATATAAAATTCTGCCATGGACTACAACTAGAGACCAGACTGACCAATAGTGGCAAAGCTGGATGAATACAAGTCAAGTGGGTGGCTATAATGGGAAGTATTAGACAAAGCAGATCACCTGCTGATCAGGAGCATACCCTGGTATTTAAAAGTGGGGGTGATCTGTGGCCTTACAAATTTTGCTGGTCTGTCTATCTATATCTTCTATCATCTATCTATCTATCTATCTATCTATCTATCTATCTATCATCTATCTATCTATCTATCTATCTATCTATCATCTATCTATCTATCTATCTATCATCTATCTATCATCTATCTATCGATATCTATCTATCTCTATCATCTATCTATCTATCTATCTATCTATCTATCTATCTATCCTTCTATCTATCTTTCTATCTATCATCATCTACCTATCTCTCTATCTCTCTATCATCTATCTATATCTATCTATCTATCTATCTATCTATCTATCTATCTATCTATCTATCATCTATCTATCATCTATCATCTATCTATCTATCTATCTATCTATCTATCTATCATCTATCTATCTATCTATCTATCTATCATCTATCTATCTATCTATCTATCTATCTATCTATCATCTATCTATCTATCTATCTATCTATCTATCTATCATCTATCTATCTATCATCTATCTATCAGCTATCTATCTAACTACCTATCATCTATCATCTATCTATTTGCTTTTCATCATAGGATCTCAGAGCCATCTAGATCTCCCACCATTAGCCATGGTTCCCACATGATCTAAAACAAGATAATATAATGCTGTAGGCTTTGCATCCATTCTCCCAAATAGGTTGCTCCAGATACAGTGGTACCTTGGTTTGCAAACTCTGGTTTGCATACATTTTGGATTACAAACACATCAAACCTGGAAGTGCATGTCCCGGTTTGCAAACTTTTTTTGGATTATGAACAAATTTTTTGGGGAGGCCCTATTGGAGAAAGCATGCCTTGGGTTACAACCTGTTTTGGCTTACAAACGGACCTCCGGAACAGATTATGGTTGTAAACCAAGGTACCACTGTATATAACTGAGGATACCAAAGTGCCTTGGGGGTGCAGGGGATCTGTGGAATAAATGTCTACACCCCTAGCCCCAAGAGGCTTTTGTGTATAAACAGCTTTATCATTGTACCATCAGAAAAGATATCTTGAAGGAAGGAAGGAAGGAAGGAAGGAAGGAAGGAAGGAAGGAAGGAAGGGGGTTGCCACTTGCTATGACCAGGAGAGAAACTTCCTGGGCTGCAACCACCATGGACAGCTCACTGGATTGAACCAGCCAGTCCAAAGCATCAAGTGTCTTGGAGTCACAACCCGATTCTGTGTTTTATCCCTCTGGAGTTCTGCCACGCTCCACAGTCTACACACCCGAGCAAATGCCAGCAGCATTCACCAAGGAGCTATATATAGAAGGAACAGGCTTTATGAATTAAATAACTGAATCCTTGCCCTCCTCAACATGGAAAGTCAATCTACTATTAGACGCACAGAGAGACTACTAGATTCTTAGAACCAGGCAGCAGGTTTGGCACAACACACTTCACTCTCTTTGTGTGTTTTAACCTAAATTCTTACAGGCATCCAGCCAAAAAAGTGTGTTACATGAAAACTGCTGCAACAATTCATAAGTGGAAGAAGCTGCATCAAGTGAAGCTATCCAGTTCAACCCACCTGTTCATAGTTTAGTAGTATCAGGAAGTGTCTGGGCAGGGAGAAAAAGAGGGAGGTGCACTGCTCCTGATTACAGGAACACAGGAAACAAGAGGCTGATCAGACAGGACACCTACGTGGGAGAATCCACTTCCTAGCAGGCTGGATGGATCATCAAGAGATTTGACAATAGGTGGGTGAGGTGAGTTACACAGTGGGGGTGGGGCAGAATTGTACAGGAAATTTGTAAGACACTTTGCCTGTTGAATAGTGCTATGGAAGTCACTGGTGTGCAAACACCAGTTGAAATGTTACTGGCCTGGGTTCAAAGTCCAGAAAGACACCTTTCTGGAGAACCCTCATAGAGCTGTAAAGGCCACAGCCCATTCATTTGGCAGTAGAAGTTCCACTGAGACTTCATATCCTGAGAAAACACGTAGAGGATCAGGAAGAAGAGCCGCTTGGCTATTCCGGAAGTCAAATGTCCAGCTGAAGGAGGAAGAAGAGGACAGGAGCACTGATGCGTATGCATACTAGGGTGAGGCTGGGGAGCAGGAACAGAGAAACAAAAAACACCCTAAGGGGGGAAGCAGGTGCACTTTGAATCCTTTGTCAGACTTTGCTGGGGCAAACAAAAGTAGGAGCTCTTCCAGCCCGCGGATATTAAGGGAGCCCCAGCCCACCCCCTGAGTCAGACAACAGAAGCGCTGGGCTGGTGGCTCCTCGAAATCCTTCAGGCGCTTTTCCTAGCTAGGAGGTCTGCTGACACGCGCGCCTCCGCCACCATTCTTCATCCACTCCCTACGCGTATATAACCGTTTTACCCCAGGAAAAAAAGTTCCAGGGCTCATTTCTCACATTCATCAGTCCAAGACGTGAGGTCGGCTCTCAAAACGCACAAACAAGGCGTTCGGAAGCGAAGGGTTTAAAAGCGCAGGAGTGCGATCAGATAAGAAGCGCCTTCTGAAGGTTTGGCCTCCTGGCGCGGCAGGCAGAGGAGCATTTCTCTCCAGCAACCCCTTCTTGCGGAAGAGATGCCGGCAGCAGGGGCCAAAAGCCGGGGCAGCGGGGCAGCAACCGCCTCAGCTCCGCTCCTCCAGGGCATTTTGGAAACAGCTGTGATGGAAGGGAAAGGAGCCAGCGGAGCAGCAGGAATTCCAGAGGGATGCAATGGCAGGAAGGTGACGGTGCGGGAAGGAGCCCGGACTGGGATGCCTCACGGCTCCGGCATGCGTGTGTAGGTGTCCCGCGGGCCAATGGCGACGAGAGGAGGCGAGCAGGAACTCCCTCTCCCCTCCATTTGCTGGAGGGCGCGATGGGGCGGTCGCCGTCCAACCAGATGGGGCTCTGGGGCCCCGTCCAGCCAGCCCTCCCGGGGCCGCGTCATGCCCAGGCCCATTCGCATCACATGCTCCCTCGAGGGCAGAAAGAAAAAAGGGGTTCTCCCATCCCCACCCCGTTTCCGTATAGCTATATATAAGGCGAATCCCTCTCTGTTCCTCCAGTGACACAAAGAGTCAGAGAAAAGGAAGCACCTGCTCCTATTATCTTATTTTAATTTTATTTGCATTCTGTTCATTTCTCCCATGCAAAATAAAAACTCCTAGGTTTGGATTACTGGAGCTGGAAGGGGAGAGAGAGATTCCCTCTCCTGTGACTGGCTTGCTTTCTAGGGTGGAAAGGAGGGGAGAGAGACAAAATAAATTCTGGAAGCGACCGCTGAGAAAACCAACTTTGTCTTGGCCAGGCTGGTCTCTGAGAAGGCGAAGAGGAGAAGCGCTCAAGGAAAAGGTGAAGTAATGAATTCTGGGGGAACTTCAGTTTTCCAAGTCTTTTTACACCAACTGTTTGTTTTTCCTAAGTCTGTAATGAATGGGTCGGCAGCCCCACAGAAGATCTCTGGTGGTTTTCAGAGAGCAGCATTTCCTGGGCAATGCAGAGAAAAGAAATCCGAGGACCGGTTGATTTGTGCATTTGCCTCTGTTTGAATTGGCTGAGCAAGAGGCAGTTTGGAGCAGGGTAGCCCTGCCGCCTCTTTCAAAATCCCAAACAAATCCTGGGCTTCACCTGATTTGAGATCTCTAGTTGGGGGAATTTGGTGTATTTCAAATATCTCATTGTTGCACTGGAGGCAGGCTTGTGATGTAGTCCTAGAATCATAGAATGGTAAGATTTGGAAGGGAATCTTTGGCCCAGTGTGGGGCTCGAACCCAAGACCCTCAAGATCTACTGACTGAGCTGTCGGGAAAGAAGTTCCCAGGATTGGGTGTGTGTTGGATGGTGGGGAGGGGATGAAGACTCCTGCTTCCCCATAAGCAGAAAACTTCCCCATAAGCAGAAGGCGGGTCCATTCTTCCAAGTTCCATTGAACTAAATGGCGTGACTCCCATTCATTCCAATGGGGCTGGTGAAGGCGCAGAAGCAGCGCCACTGAAGGGGACTGGGCAGGGGAGGCCGGCCCAAGACATTTCGGCCAAAAGGGCACGGCCCTGGAAGACTAGCCGCATATCGGGATTTGCTGCCTGACAGGCCCGCTCCCCTTGCTCGGGGCATCCCAGGAACCAAGGCGGACCAGTTCCGCCCGGCTCTGCCCAAGGCCGCCGGCAGGATCCGCCGGGGCCTTGCTCCCGAGGAGCAACTTCATTCAGCCCTTCTTTCGGGGGGAGGTGGAGAAATGCCCTTTGGGGCTTCGCCCCAGGCGCCAGGCCCGCTCTCTCGAAAGCCTCTCGTCAGCTCCGGGGTCCGACAGTCCCCAGCCTTCCCGCGGGGGGGGGGGGTCCCTGGCCTTCGCCTGATCGGAACCCGCGACCCGCAGCCTCGCTCTTCTTCTTCGCATCTCCAGCAGCTCCGCCGAGCCACGAGGGCTGGGCCCGGGTTCTCTCTCGACCGCGCCTTGGTCCCCGCCGTCGGGCCGCCGGCTGCTCTTTGGGACTCCGGCGAGCGCGAGCCCTTTCTCTCGCGCGAAGGCGCTTCGCCGGCTGCCGCCGCCGCCTCCTCCTCCTCCCGCGGGGGACACGGCGCGGAGCTTGGCGGCGCCTCTGGCGGAGGAGTCCCCGCCCGGGCCGGAGCGCCCTCGGCGCCAGGTCGCCCCGTCGGAATTGGGCCTCGGGGAGGTGGGGAGGAGGAAGGGCCGCGGGGCGGGCGGCGCCCCCTCGGCCTCCCCTCCTCGCCCCAATCCCAGCGGCGAGGGGGGCTGCGGAAGCCGCTTCGACACCTGCGGCGGAATGAGGCCGGGAGACCTCGGAGGACAGAAGGACCCGGCCCCACTCTAGGCTCGCTCTGGCTCGTGTGAAAGGTTCCCCGCGCAAGTAGAGAACCCTCGCTGCACGTAGAAATGTAGCGCCTCAGGGACCCTGATGCATTTTCTGCTTGCGGGGAGGTTGGTTTGAAATGCGATCTGCTCCATTCGGCTGCCTTCGAAGAGAAGTGGCGCCGTGTCCCTCACGGCCGATTTCGCACCCCACCAGCTCCGGGACCCAGAGGATCTTGCTGGCGGGCGTGGGAGGCGGGCGGGCGGGCGGGCGCTCTTCCGCCAAGGGTGGGGCCCGCCGCCCGCCGGCAGCGCTGGGGTCTCGGCCCATGTTCCTCGGGCGCCATCTCTTTGCAAAATGCCTCCTCCTCCTCCTCCTCCTCCTCCAGCAGGTTTCCCAGAGGCGGCTGCTCTCCCCGCTGCCTCCCTCCTCCCTTTCGTAGCGCTCGGCGGGTGTGCGCGCACCAGGACTCAGTGTGCGGGTGTATGTTAGTAAGTACTGTAAGCAGAGAAGACTACTTGCCGGAAGCTCCTGACCTGAACCTCGGTTTCTAGGTACTTTGCCGACGGAGGATGCGTGGCTTTCTCTCTCGGAGAGGAAAGGAAAGCGGCTGCAGTTCTTGAAGGACGCGTCCCCCTGCCCAGTTCAGGGCTGTCCTGGGACACAGAATCCTTGGTTCTGTTGCCCACCTAGGCACTCGGCTTGCTTTCAGCTCAGAAGATTGCTCTGGATTTTGTGTGTGTGTGGCGGGGGGGGGGGGTAGGGACGAAGTGGGGAATCCACGCGTGGGACCTCCGTCTCCGCTTCAAAGCGCGTCTCACGCACCCACGCGCTTAGGAGCAAAAACTTATCGTGTCTTCCTTCGCAGGTTCCAAAGACTCACAGCAAAGCGACGATGTTCCCCAGGCTCTTTCACCAGTGGAGTTTCCTGGTTTTTCTACTGAGTTACTGTGTACCCTCCTCTGAGAGATCGCTGGAAGGGAATAGCCGCAGACTGTAAGTTCCAGTTTGATCTTCCTCTCCTCTATCATTACAATTGGAGTGGTTGGGGAGGGAATTTTGATACAGCGACAGCTCTGATCTCCTCTTTCTAACAGTGGCATTTCAGCTTTTCACAGGGGAAAGTACCTGAAACGTCTTAAACCAGCTGCTTATGAAGTCATTGGTCAGGGATACAGATTTTATTCAACCTTTAAAGAATAATAGCAATAAGGACAAGTTTAATTTTAGAAAAATAACAAATAAGGAACTATCTCTTTCACTGCTTCCAGTTTTTTTAAAAGTGATGCTGGTTCTCTATATGCATAGGAAGATATTTTTCAAAGTGTGATTATGAAGACTGTTTGGGGACTGCATAATATTTGGAAGAGTTGAGAACAGTGATGGGGTTGGGGAGAATCTCACTCAGTGATTCTTGGCAATGCATAAGAGGAACAATTGCTGTCCTTAAAGGACACAGGGTGGGTGGGGAGCAGAGCCTCACTTGTGTACAATTACAAATATACACACAGACAGTATTCATATTACAGGAATGCTACAATAGCAGACACACTACAGACTTCAGATGTGGAAAATGGGGCTATAGGCATGTTGGCCTAGGTCCCAGCTACACTGTGGGAGAATATACATGACACTTATATCACAGACATTGCCTTCACCCACCTTGGTACCGTGACAGTTAACATTAACTTTCTGGTCCAGAGTTAAATATCTGATTTAGTGAGAGTTTTGAGATAAGAGAATCTGAGAAAGAACCCAAAACATGTATGCTCCCCCACTGCCCCCATGTCTATTAATATGAATCATATGCCTGCATATATAAACAAAACAGAGAAACCACCCATGTCATTAATCCCACACTGCGGTTACGAACTAATGATCAATAGATTTCTAGTTACTTAAGATCCTGAAATCTCTTTATGCTGGTTTAATTATTCGGAAGGGGAGTGTCCAATAAGTTCAGAAGCCAAGTTTAAACCAACAATTTTAGGAAACCATATATTCCATAAACTTAGAAGTAACAGTGCTGCTTATTAGCTTTACACTGTTTTACTGCTTTTATTTCTGTTTTTAGGCTCTAATTTTATATTAGTGATTGATGTTTCTGGGGGTGGCATTTATATGTCTAAGGACTTGCCTGATGAAGTACATTGATTGTTGGGATTACTAATAATAAATCCATTCAAATTTGGTTGGAAAATGCATGCATGAACTTTGTCCCAAAATGCAATCTTTAAACCTCCTTGAGCAATGTGGGTAGAGAACACTGTCCTGAAGATAAAGCTAAAGGACATTCTCTTCCCCTTGTTAACACTAGTTACGTCTTTTATTTGGAAATGCTGTGTGGTATTCAGCTAGGTTTTACTCAGATTGGGCATATTAAAATTAATGGACCTAACTTTGACATGTTCATTAATTTCAGTTGATCTGCTATGAGTAAAACTAAGTTGAACGCCACCCCATGCTTCTCACCGCAGCTAATAAGAAAATCCATGTTTGGATTTGTGTTGAGCCTTTCCCTTGGAACCAGTCCTATATATCTTTCTATTAATCAGGGGTCCCTTTCTTCTGAGGCAATGCTCCCCACCACAAATCCCTGATTATTCCCTCTCCACTAGATGTTACCAAGGCAAAATTCGCAGTCACACACCCCTTGGTGCTAACCCAGACTGAGTCACTGTGTGTGAAGCGATATTCCTGAACAAAGCCCACAAACAACAACAGCCTGCCATATTACAAAGAACAGCTGTTTTGAGTTGATTGGTAACTTAGTTTGGTAGGCTATATACTGAATGCAGCAAGCTGCCAAAAACAGATTTGGTCCCAAAGACCGTAGCCTCTGCCTGTCCTATAGTGCTAACTCCAAGCCAACCTCCAACTGTGGAATGAAAGAGTAAATTGTGGAAGAGGGGCTTCACAGGAGTCTGTAAACATGAGAATGCCACCAAACCCACAAAGTACCTTACAGATCAGTAAACATTCTAGTGATAGAAAGTTTCTTGGCATGTATTTTCCTAAAGACTCCAGGAGGAGAGGGCAAACTGCAGTTACGAGAAGCGAGCTTTTTGGAGGCAGTGAAAGAGAAATTGGGCCAGGACGACTGTTTGAAGTTATGGTGATCAAGACATCAGGAGTGGACACTTTTCTAATGATGACTGGTTAACCATTTTTCCTTTGGGGATTAGCAGTTTAACCCAGCCAGTGTGTTTATGATGCTGAATTCATAGAAGTCAGTACTGTGTACATGAGATTGAATGATAGCTCTGTGAATGCGGCATACAATGTATACAGTAATTTGTGTGGGTACTTCTGGGCAGTGAGAAACCATAAGCTCTCAACTCTTCTCTCAAAATTGCTTACCACATGTTAGCATTGCATTAACTGCATCTGGTTTGGGGTAAGAATTCTTTCATTTAACATGGCTTGCAGGCTGGAAGGGATCTCTAGTGGGTTATCCTAATAATTTCGAAATCTTCAATCTTTCTGTTTTTAGGAACTCAACAAGTAATCCACCCCAGTGATTAGGCACACATGAAAAGTTTAATAGTTTAATCTTTTCCCAGTCCATACAGTTACATGGAATGGGAGAAATAATTACATTTCTTATAGCCTGTGTTATGCTTCTATTATTTATATTTATATATTTATATTTATATATTTATATTTATATTTATATTTATATTTATTTATATTATTATTTAAATGACATCATTTACTAGGGCCCTCCCAAGATGTTCTGGTTCCTGCTGTATTGGGGTGTGTTTTTTAAAGAGTGTGGGATGACCTTTCTCCCCACCACTTCCCCTTTTTGGTCACAGATTACTACAGTCATACCTCGGGATGAATACGCTTCAGGTTAAGCATTTTCGGGTTGCGCTCTGCAGCGACTCGGAAGTAACGGAGCGCGTTACTTCTGGGTTTCGCCGCTCGCGCATGCACAGACACTCAAAATGATGTCACACACATGCACGGAAGTGGCGAAACGCGACACGTGCAGACGCGGGTTGCGTTCGCTTCAGGATGCGAACAGGGCTCCGACACGGATCCTGTTCACATCCAGAGGTACCACTGTATTCCTCAGAAACATTTACAGTAGCGGCCTACACATTGGTTCAACACACTGAATGGTTATTTTAAAACAATTAACTGGGTCCATGAACTATGTGAATGCACATGAATGTCAATCTAATATAAATGCACAGAGGCAAGCTGTGCATTATTATTATTTTACTTTAACGGGGGGGGGTGCATGCATGCATCTCTCACATACATCATTTAACTACCGGTAAATTAGACGAGAAGGGGTGGGGGTGGAGAGATGAGAGTTGGAGAGACCAAGGTGGGGCAAGGTGAATTCTTCACATTTATTTGGACGGGTCAGCCAGACTTTTGGCTTCTAAATTTTTAATAAAGTACCTAATTGTTTGGATTGTTAAGAAGGGAGAAGCATCCTGAGAAATTCTGAAAGCACTGCAAGATATGTCGCTTTGGACAGACTGGCAAATATGATAAAAATAATAGCTAAGAACTAACTGGACCTTCATAGGTCCCTTTAACACTGCAATTTTAAGGGTACATGTTTTAGTGCAGTGTATCATACTGCTTGAGGTACGGTACATGCCTTCTCTTCAATACTTTTGCCTTCCCATGAATCTACATGTTTTGTTTGTTTTTAGGTTCATGAGTGTGCTTCTAATGTTAGTAGCTTGCAGTGTTTGAAGTGACCTTTAAGTGAAGGGACTTCCACACTATAACTAAGCTATTGCAGTTTATGAGCTGGAATCACATAGAGTTTTATCAGGCCTGTATAAACCATTTTAGTTAGTGTGAGAGGTGTTACACTTTGGTAACATCAACAAGGTGTCAATTAGTACACATAACTTTCATTAAAAAGCTAAAACAGACTGCATCAATGGGATCCGCCAAGCACTTGGCAATGAGCACATACAAAGTCAAGTCTGATTGCCACTGAAGACACTGTTTTTCCACTGAGAGTCTCATCTAGCTCTGTTGCTGCCAGGGACTTCCTAGTTTGGAGCTCAGCCTCTTAGCCACCAAGGCTACAACCACTCTAAAGATCAGGCCAGAGCAAATACCACAGGCAAGACCTTGTTATAAACCTTGACACAACTCTTTTAAATGAAGTTACTTCACACATGCAAGTCATCAAGTGCTGAGGAATCAAGTTTTGAGAAATGAATAAATGAACATCAATCCAAGTGGCGATGGGGTGGTAATAACATTTCATGTTGGTATTTAAGACCTCTTGACCTCTGCATGTTACACAGAGAAATGCCGGTCTCTACATTCAAAATACAGTGGTACCTCGGGTTACATACACTTCAGGTTACATACCCTTCAGGTTACAGACTCCACTAACCCAGAAATATTACCTCTGGTTAAGAACTTTGCTTCAGGATGAGAACAGAAATCATGCAGCAGCGGTGCAGCGGCAGCAGGAGGCCCCATTAGCTAAAGTGGTGTTTCAGGTTAAGAACAGACCTCCAGAACAAATTAAGTTCTTGACCCGAGGTACCACTGTAGTCTCTATGGAGATCAATGCATCAGGCAGCAAGTTGATATATGGTTCTCATTGCTGCTGTGTTTCTCGATAAAATACATCAACATGCCTACCTCATTAAGAGCCAGAGTAGTGACATCCATTGACTTGACCAATAGGAGTCCCCTCATTTATAATATGATATAATATGTTTGTGCAATAACCATGTGAATGCCTCAGCGCATTCCACTACTAGCAGACTGGAAGGACAGCTACTTGTGACACCTTTGGGATCTACAATCCCACTTCCCTTTTTCCCCTGTGCAGTTCACAATGCATCCACCTTACCCTGAGGCAGAAACACACATTTTCCCATAGTTAATTACTTCCCAGGCAACGCTTAGATCACTTGTTGGATCACAATATGGTTTCTGTGGACCACATTTTCTTAACTCCCTTGTTATTCCAGTCTGCACTCTTGCAAAATGCCTGGTTAAACCATTGCTTAAGTAGCCTAGAATTGAGGAAGCTGAGAAAATGTGATATAGACTGCTCTTGTTGTATAAAACAGTAGTTTAGGAAAGTATTATGTACATAGAAACAAATTAAGAGTGCCTAACAGGATGGGTGCTGCTGAGGAAAAGTGGTTAATAGAGAATATAAGACTGAGGCATTGAGGAAATCTCCTGACATCTAGGCTAGCTTGGAGCATGTATGCCAAGAAACTGTATTCTACATGAGAGATGGCCACCTGATGAACAGCAGACCAAATATTCCCTTCAAATCACTCATCATCCAAAGTTGTTTTATTCAGTCCCTAGTAGTGCTACTAGATTATAATCAAGAGATGGTAAGTGGTTTGCCAATGGCTTAACTTCAAAGGAAAATAAAAAGGCATTTTTTTCAAGTGGAAAGAAAGAGCTAACCCATGTGGCAACTGCCTCCAGATTTTCACATAATGCTCTGTCTATAGCTGGGTGCATGTGCACCATGCATAAAATCGTTCTTGCTGCTCCATAAATTTATTATGGGGCCTGACCAATGATGAGGTTGATTCATTTGGCAGCATACACTTCTGAGTCACAGACTACCACCTGAAGAGTAGAATGCCCCAGAGAACATATAAGTTGGTCATCCTGTTCCAGTAATTGAAAATCATAAAAACAGGTTGATACATCCTCAGCACATGGTCTCCTTTGCATCATGTTCTGGTGACACAGTTCTTCACCAAGTACTTGTTCAATTTATGTACAAAAAACATCCCCATACTTTAGACAGGGAAGGGGCTTGCACACCACAAGTCAACAAAGCGTCTTCACTGAGAGAACAAATATGTCAGCGTCTAAGGCAAGGCCCTATAATTAATCTGTTCATAAAAGGTGTAGAACATTAATTTCTTTTAAACTAAAGGAAGTTCCTATCTCAGAAATCCATGCATGATGCATTTGCATAAGAATTTGCATTTCTAAGGACCCATTTTGATATTACAGCAGTGGAGTTGCTGCTGCAATGTGTCTCTTCCCTGGGCTACTCTGGTGACGTCAGAAGGATGAGGTCACTTGGGAAAAGGCCACGACAGAGCTTCACAACATCCCAGCATTGTTCTTCCTGAAAATTAGAATAATGCTGGCATGGAAATGAGTCATGCTAAATCTTGCCACCCCCACATGATCTCAGACTTCTCATGCTACCAGAGTGGTGCAGGAAGGAGACATTTTCCACTGGTCCATATCATAAAGTTTATGTCAGAAGACACCCTGACATAAGACTGCTTTGGGGATAATCTGTTTGGAAATATTTGCCCGTATTAAGTCAAAGATTGCATAAGCTGAATTTTTATTCCCCTACAATACATTATGCCCATGTCTTTTGCAACTTTATGTGGTTGTCTTTGATAGCTAAGACAAGCGGGACGTGGGTGGCGCTGTGGGTAAAAGCCTCAGCGCCTAGGGCTTGCCGATCGAAAGGTCGGCGGTTCGAATCCCCGCGGCAGGGTGCGCTCCCGTTGCTCGGTCCCAGCGCCTGCCAACCTAGCAGTTCGAAAGCACCCCCGGGTGCAAGTAGATAAATAGGGACCACTTACTAGCGGGAAGGTAAACGGCGTTTCTGTGCGCGGCTCTGGCTCGCCAGAGCAGCGATGTCACGCTGGCCACGTGACCCGGAAGTGTCTCCGGACAGCGCTGGCCCCCGGCCTCTTGAGTGAGATGGGCGCACAACCCCAGAGTCTGTCAAGACTGGCCCGTACGGGCAGGGGTACCTTTACCTTTACCTTTAAGATAATTTGCAAATTATTTCAATTTTAGATCTTCTATTCCTGTAAGGAAAAGTGAACCAAAAGTAGCTCATATCCAAGGAAATGCTTTAGAGGTGGAAGGTTTCACTGTACCCAGAAAGGAATAGATTTGGCTAAACTGATTAGCAACATTTTTTATTATTATTGAAGTGTGGATTTGCTTTTTTTCAAGCAGCAAAAGGACAGTATCAGAATACCAGCTGTTGCACGATAAAGGAAAGTCTTTGCAAGATATTCGAAGACGAAACTTCCTGCAAAATTTAATTGAAGGGGTTAACACAGCCGAGATCCGGACTATGTCAGAGGTATCACCAAACCCTAAACCTGCCACCATCGCAAAGAATTATGCTGTCCGGTTTGGCAGTGAAGATGAAGGCAAGTGCCTGACTCAAGAGACCAACAAAGCCCAGACGTACAAAGAGCAACCTCTTAAGGCTCCAGGAAAGAAAAAGAAAGGAAAGCCCGGGAAACGTAAAGAGCAAGAGAAGAAAAAAAGGAGGATTCGTTCAGCCTGGCTCAGCTCAAGAGGGTCTGGAAGTGGAATGACACAGATCCCCCTCTTGGACATCTTTGGAACTACACATATCAATACAAGGTAATGCTCTTCAGCCTTAATCCAGAAGGTAAGAATTTAAATGTCCAGGGTCTACCCAAGACAATAGGATGCCTAAAGTGGAAAACTCAAATGGTAATCAACATGGGCAGAATGCGTTGCAAAGTTCTCCTATGCAACTCCATTGATGCAAACTGGAGATGTGCAAGGGAGTCTGGTTCTTGGATAGCTCCCCACTTCTTTAAGGTAATTTGTTTGCTTTAAGCTACCAAGATAAATGTCTACCTTTTGGAAATACAGTCGTACCTCTGGTTACATACTTAATTCGTTCCGGAGGTCCGTTCTTAACCTGAAACTGTTCTTAACCTGAAGCACCACTTTAGCTAATGGGGCCTCCCACTGCTGCCGTGCTGCCACTGCACGATTTCTGTTCTCATCCTGAAGCAAAGTTCTTAACCCGAGGTACTATTTCTGGGTTAGCGGAGTCTGTAACCTGAAGCGTATGTAACCCGAGGTACCACTGCAGGGAGAGGGGCAGCAAAACAGTGTTTGCCTTTGAGTCAGTTCTTCAGTAGCAAAGTTACCTGGACAACTCCAAGTTCTTAGATCCCTCTTTAAGGAATTAGTAACTACGTAACAACTATATTTACTAGTCCTTGGAGGCGGGCAAATTAATTTCAGAGAGATTTGTATTTGTGCTAGGGAAAATCAAGCCCTTTACAACTTCTGCACATTTTAAAAATGCAACACGGTTTTTCTATAATGAGAGGCGTTTCAAATTTTAGAATTATGAGATGATAGTCTACCTTATATCTTTCACAGATATAAAAAGTAAGCTATGTCCCCCCACCTTGTCTTTAACAATTTACACCATTTTTTAAAAAAGAAAAAACCTCACTGTTTGTATCCTTAGGGGAGAACATGGAAAGTTTCTCTTAGTAATATCTGCTAACACCAGCCAGCCTTTCTGCCATAATATTTTCCCTGCCATTAGGACTTGTTAGTTCAGTTCCAATTTTGCTGCCAGCTTGTCAAACAATTACACTGCTGCTGAAAAATGTGGAGCATTGCCCCGGGGGTAGAGAAACATGTTTCTCTCATGTATGACAGGCTTCTTTAAAAAGAGTAAGTTTAAGAACTGCAACTTTGCACAGATTCCATATCATCATTTTCTGAAAGAATTGTGAAAGCTCTCATTCTTTCACTCCCCTTTAACTCAAAGAAAATATAGTGATTTTTATTTCACCCAAAGATTTCAGGATTAAACATTGCAATATGGAAATTCTAAACATGCTTACTCTGAAATTCAAAAGAGTTCAACAGGATTTGCTCTCTAACAGGTGCGCTTCTTAGGATTGAATCTTATTTTTTTACATTTGTAACCTACCTTTCTTCCAAGGGTCTCAAAACAAAGAGCATGGAGTCATCCCATTTTAGCTAGTATATAGACTATTGACTTATTTGTAATTTTAGACACTCAGTTTGCAGCAACAGGCAAATTTAACCACTATTTATATACTCCTGACACAAGCATTACTAGTCTCCTGTAAATATGTGGAAACGTAATAAACAGAGGAGGCACCAAACCACAAGATGCACCTAGTTTTTGGAGGAGAAAAACAAGAAAAAAAATATTCTGAATCTCAGAAGCCAGAACAGCAAGAGGGATCACTGCGCAGTGAAAGCAGCGATCCCTCTTGCTGTTCTGGCTTCTGGGATAGCTGCGCAGCCCGCATTTCCTCCATAAGACACACACACATTTCCCCTTACTTTTTAGGAGGGAAAAAGTGAGTCTTATAGAGCAAAAAATACGGTAATATTTGGGTTCCTGTGTGGGCAACACCTATAGATACACAAGGTGTCACTTTTGTATTATTTGAACTGCAGGACTCAAATATAACTCATGGTCATCCACATGTCAAAATTGGCCTAATCTTCATGTAGACGACTTACTATTCACAATAACCCATTCCCAGAGATTTTCTAAGTTTATTCTTAGGACTTGCATTTCTATCCACATTTGTGTGTGCCTTTTTTTGTGGCAGTCTTTTTTTTTTTTTTTTGCTGCCCATGGTAACCATTTTATCCTAGCACCTACCAAACTTCAACCACTATGAGTACTGGCATCACATTTTCCCCCAAAAGAAAAACTGTCTGCCTGTTTCAGTGGTAAAACAGCCTTCCATTGGTGCAATGTGACTTCCCCTTCTTCTTCTCCTCTCCCCTGCAGCTCCTTTGGACTACCTTTCAGGGGAGGATGCGAGGGATGAAGAAGAAGGGGAGGTTCTATCACATTCAGTCCACTCATGCGATGTTGGATGTAATCCATTGTGTTATAAATATTTTGCAACGTTTGAACCAACATTGCTGCGTCCAAAGGATACCCAAAATGCTCAAAGCGTTTCTAGATTGGGGCTTGTCTCAAAACATTTTTGTTTTCAATATAATATGAGTATTATAGGGCCTGTAAGGACTTTGAACACTTGAGATATTTAAAATATATCTTTTAGAAAAGGAAGTGATTAAGCACAAGAGCAAAATCCCTTCTCTGCCAAATAGAATGTAGAATTTCAGCTTCTGAGCTTCCAAAACAGCTTTACCTGATGCAGTGCTAATAAGGTGGCAAAAAATGCGTGTTCCCACAATGTTAATCAAGCGACAATCAACCTTAAAGACTGGTAGAACATTTCCAGGAAAAGTGACTTCAGTTATCTTTTCATGATACAACTCTGCTTTCCCCCTCAAATTGCAGATTTTAAAATGCTTTCAATTATTTTCCTCCTACACAGTACAAGAGAAATCAAGGTGTGAACTTGTCTTAATATAGTGCAGCCAGCATTCAAAGTGGTTGTTTAATTTGATCAAGGTAGTAAAAAAACCAAAACCTGGACATGATTGTTATTTAGACACTCTGAAGAAAGGCGAAAGGTCTTAAGAGGTGCACTTAAGAGTCTGATGCAAGAGGCCGTGGCGCTCCAAGCTGAAATTCTCTTCATTCTCCAAAAGAATGAAAGCTTGCATCTGATAACTTGCAACCTGCTTATCACTTCCCTGGATTTGTGTGTCTTATGTCAGGATCTTAGGTGAATAAAGAAATCTGCTTGAGGGCTGATGTGTGAAAATCCTCCAGCTTGGCAGGATGACACAGAAAACCAGGCTACCACAGCTTTGCCTAAAGGTTGTTTGCTCATCTTTGATAAATGGTCACCTATAACCCACCCCTATTCCTTCATTTGGCTGTTTTGGTTCTTTCTCCCGGTCCTTTCCCCATTTTTCAAGTTGTAAGCCACTCACTCACCTTGGGAACACAGCTAAAGATGCTGTGCACAGATATCCCCAGAAATGGGAACAGACTTTTCTGAAATATATCTCACGAAAGAGTCAAAGGCAAACTGGAGAATTACAGGTCTGGGCAGAATAAATCTTTGCCCAATGGCCACCCTCAGCAGGAAATGTAAAATAAGTAACAAAGATGGAACAGATCTTGAACAGGATGTTCAAACATAGGAAGCAAAGCTCAACAGGCCTGAATGGAACTTGGCTGCCTAGCCTGGATTTGGAAGGTGGATTTTTCACAATACCTAGTTTTAGATTTGTTTTAGTAGCACTATATTAAATTGTGATTAAAATGTGATGCATTGCTAATGACTGTGCATTGAGGGAGGGGGTCTCAGGAGAGACCCAGCTGCAAAGGATCAGCTACTTGGAATTGATCTCTAATACTTCACATTGCTAGTTTCATAGTACTGAAAACCATGCACAGTAGAGACTGAACAACAAAAAATCCAGAGTTGTTCATCATCTCTTCCAACAGGCACACCCTGTTGTGAGACTATAAATGTTGTGTCCAATTATTTTGTATGGGAAAATATTAATTCCCCCCATTTCTCTTCTCTTTCTTTGCAGGAGGCGTTGACATCGTCAGCTGAGATTTTTGGAAAACACACTGCAGTATTCTGTAATAGTCAACATATGGAAAGTGTTAGAAGTATTTATTATCTGTAAATATTGTAAATGTATCAGAATAAAACGTTGGCCACAGATGCTCTCCAAAACTGCACATTTGAACATTGTGAATATTGGGAGATTCTTTTTGTGCAAAGACAATTCTTGTTGTCCATTTACCATAATTTATTTTGTTGAATGATGTATTTATTTCCATGAACATTTATCTTGGTGCTGCTGACTTTCTATAATTTTTGTAACATAATGCACTTTAGATATACATTATGTCTTTTGTTGATACAACATAAATAAATGGTTCCTTTTTTATTGGTTTTAATGAGTTGCCCAAGTACAGTTGTTTAAAAAACAAACAAATCTTCCACGCATGTATAAAAGGCGGTATTTTTACAATTATTTTTTTTTAAAAAAGGCCAATAAAATATAATGTAGTTAAAATCATATCATGACTCAGAGGGAAAAGTGTGTCCTCTTAAGATCTCAAGGACAAGGAACAATCATTTCCCCCTTTGCTGCATCTGAAAATAGTCTTCAAACCTAATATGTTTATATTGGTTTTGCTTCCATTTTCATATTAGTTTTTAGTTAGAAATCACTAACGATGAATTGTGCTCCAGTATCTGGCATTAAGGCAGTGGAGAAGCTGAACTGGTGTCTAATACTTGTGGAAAAGAATTCTGCACAGGGGGATGTGCTTCAGTCTTACAGGGCTTACATGGAAACACAAATTGATCTCCAAAAGTGTTAGTCCAGAGTTTCCCAAGGCAGAGCACAAGGGATGGAGACAGACGGAGGTCAGGTTGGAGGGTGGGGAGGAAGTTGTAGCTCCTCAGCATTCATCCAGCAACAAAAACCTGGCAGAAAAATGCAGATGAGAGCAAAGGGGCTTAATGCAAGCCAGGAATCCATTGCTGCCTTGGAGCATCTGAAGTCTGAGTTTTTATAAATCTCCCATTAGAATTTCCCACCTCATTCCAAGTTTATTTCCAGATGCTGCTACTTCTATTACACAGGAATATACTAAAATACTCAATAGATTCTTCCTTCCCTACAGAGTTTATTGGAGGTACAGTTTGGTCTTCCCCAATATCTAGTATGCTGATTCTGATGCCTCCTTGTCTTAGGACATAGGAGTGGCTGAATGCATGGAGAATGTGTGAAATATCCAACACAGTGGCTTGACTTTGGGTAGACCAGCAATTCCAAGCCCACTTTGGATTCACACTCAGCAATGTTTCCTAGTTCTACGATAAATGATTAGGCCTTGAAGACTGGTGGATACAGTCTTTGTTGCCTACTGTGGGTAAATAATCATTGAGAAACAAGCTGACAGCTCATATTTCAAGTGTCTTGACATGCAGCTCAATCCTATCTGTATTTCCCAAGAAGCAAATTCCACTGATTTCAATGAAGCCTAATCAGAAGTACACATGCATTAGATAACAGTCTTAGACTAGTTAAGGGCAGCTGGGGAGCTAACAGACACCCTGATAAACGTGCTAGTCTTTCAGATAGCATCAGTTCCTCCAAACCAGCGACCTACCCTTGCAGATCAGATATACACTAACTGCTTCTTGCCAGCCAGCTGCACAGCTTACTGCCCAAGTAGAAACTGCCAAGCAGATTTTGCTGCTGCCATATGCACCAGTGGAAGCATGTAGGCATCAGCTGCAAATTCCATTAGCTTAGCGTAGTCACCAGCCAAAAGTCATTAAAAGTCAGCAATAAAGCTGTATAGATGGATCCTTTTCATTTGGCACAATATGGTAATATTCCCACAATTCTTATCACTCATATGCACACTTGTTTTGTATATACACATATAGTACACACATGTATTCCCATTATATTAGAAATGTGTTTTTAAAGAAACACTTTAGGACTAGTGCTGCCTCTCTGTGTGCTTATTTGAATCTTAGGCTGCGTGAGGTTGCTCCCCCTCCATGCCATTTCCAGCATGGAATCCTTCAGGGAGGTCAAAGGGGGGGAGGGGCCCAAGGTAATCAACTAGCTATATATTTAGAGGATAAAATTGTTCATTCTTGACTCCACAGTTGCTGCATTCCTGATGCCACGGATTGTCACATATTGTGGCATCACTTTCAGTTCATGCATTACAGAATTATTGCAGAGGGAGCCTGGTTGGGACCAGGGCATGGAGAATGCTTCAAGGTGTGAGAGCGAGGGTAGTCCCTGATGCCTTGAAAGTGGCAGTGGTGGGGCTGCTCCTAAAGAAGCCGTCCCTGTTGATTCAGACTAACAAGGATTCACAAATTATTGGGGAAAGTAGTGAGGGTTGGGGTGTTCTTGGATTGTACGGATTATCTAGACCCATTCTAATCTGTGCTAAGGGTTGGCTATGGGACCAAATCTGCCTTGGTTCCCCTGATGGATGACTTTTTACCAAGAATGGAGCAGAGGGCTGTGACCTTGCTCCAGTGTCTATCGAGGCCACTTTGCTACATTGATAATGCTTTTTGGCCCACTGGCAGTTTCACTATGGGGTGCCTACAATGCTGTTTAATACCTGACATAGTTTTAAATAAACCAAGGTTACAAAAAACAAAATAAAAAACCCAACCCTACAGCCACAGTGCCAGATCTACAATATTTGCTGTAGCGGGGCAATAGTCTGCACCACTGCCTCCCTCCCCATGACTAGGAACTCCATGCTGTAAACTTGCAACCCCAAAGTAAATAGAGGGAGGCAGCCACATGCCCTGAAAGATTCCTACAGAAATTCTTTTGCTTGCAATGCTTATTACTTGGATGCACCTTAACAAGCATTAAAGTACAGATTAAGGTGGATTTTCCTTTGCCCTTTTAATCAAGTTAACCAAGATTTCCAGCAAAGCCTAGCCCAAGCTTCCTTTGAAGAAAGGCTAGAAAAGGTTTAGCAAATCAACAATTTGTCATGGAGCACATTGTCATTGAGCTCCGCATGGTCTGCACAGGCTGGAAGTTGCTCTCCAGAGATGTTGTGGATTGAGCTTGAGGCCTTGGGAGGAAATCCCACCATTTGCACCCATGAGAAATTTCCTTCTAATGCAAACCACATCTCCAGATGAAATATTTTCCTCAAAATGGCAGTAGAGGACAAAAAGGGCAAGTTCCACCTTGAAGCCTTTTGGGTTGATCAGATAAGGAGGATGGTTTTAAAAGAAAAAGGGTATAAGGTGATGCCTGCCCAGCACTAACCCTTGTCTGAGTCAAGTCTCCTGCAAACGACATTAACTTCTTTTTTTAAAGTCATGCACCTTTTGGACTAACTTCTTAGAAATGCATCACCTAAAATCAATATACAAACAGGTTATTAAAAAATGGACTTTTTTCCTCTTCTTTTCTCTAATACACAAGGATCCTGTATGCTTCACTTAGCAACTGCTGAATTTATTTTATTTTTTTAAAAAATCTTTCCTTCTTTGTCAACCTGACATCTGAACAACACCTAGTACAGTGGTACCTCAGGTTACATACACTTCAGGTTACATACGCTTCAGGTTACAGACTCCGCTAACCCAGCAATAGTGCTTCAGGTTGAGAACTTTGCTTCAGGATGAGAACAGAAATTGTGCTCTGGTGGTGCGGCGTCAGCAGGAGGCCCCATTAGCTAAAGTGGTGCTTCAGGTTAAGAACAGTTTCAGGTTAAGTACGGACCTCCGGAACGAATTAAGTACTTAACCTGAGGTACCACTGTACAGCCTAATCCAATTAAGTCGGCATGCTTTATTTATAATCCACTTTAAGACAATATCAAGTCAACATTTTCTCTCCCACTCCTCAACCTGATGAAAAGTGCTGCAAACTAAAATGTTTGCTCACTATTTTGTGACCTTTTGACTGGTCCTAATAAAGGTATTGTCTTGTTGAAATGATCCTAAGAAGCTTCCCTAGAAATAAATGACAGTTTAGTATTTTATACCAAGAGATGCAACTGAAGTATTCAAAATACTAAAGGAGATGGACCACAATTTAATCTGGGGCCTCTTGGTCAAAGTCCCATTGGTCCTCTGAACATCCCCTGTGAGATGATGGAAAGTCACAGGCCACAGGAGAATGGCAGAATTCTTCGTTAACATAATTTGACAAATCATGATGTAATGCACTGTTTCCAAACCTGTGACAGGAAAGGCTTGCTTTTTTCCTAGGGATGAACACATTTTTCTCTTGCTGTGTTTGGGCACAAGTCACTGATCTGGGCATCCCTCCTGGTTGGAAGGAAGCTAGTTCGAAGAAACATGAAAAAGGGCAACCTCCTCTAAGGGGTGGTAAATCTGCATTAGGAGTAATCCTCTCCAATGAGGCTGAGTGGGAGGGAGGCCAGAGCAGAGAGTTGTGGAGTGATGCAGTGGGCAGTTTCTCTTGAGGCCCACACCGGAGGCTTTTCATTAAATTTATAGACTGGTTTTCTGTGGTAGACTAGCCACTCTCTCACAGCACACTGATGTAATGGTTCTGAATAGACTTCAAATAGTTCATAACAATGTCCCTAAGGAATTCTTAAAAGGGAATTGCTTGCATGTAGGTAGAGAGCCATGTGAGCTCCTGCTGTATTATCACAGTGTCAAATGTTAAGGTCAAAGTTAGACCAATGCTCCACTTCTGTCTACATGGTCCATTTTGCTCATATTTTTGGACTTTTAATTCATTAGGTTTGATCACTGTCCAAACAGGATACTTGAGTCACTTGAGAGATTTGGGAAGCTTCAAACATTTCCTTTCACTTAGAATTGAGTTTTTCTTTTCAGACAAAAGGAAAGTGGCAGATGTTTAAATATGATGGGTGTTGCCTTAAAAAAACAATGGCTGAACAAGATTAAATTATTGAAAACCCACTGAGCATACTCATTGGTGTCCAAGTTTACTTCAAACATTGCTTTTCAGTGAAACTTCTTCCCATTCACACCCACCATCTGTTCACAGAGCTACAGAAATCTTGCAGAAGGGCAGATCTGAATAGTGCTCAAGAACTCCCTTGATGCTTTGATAGTCTGTGCTGCAGGAAAGGATTAAGAAGTGTGCAGAAATTCAGCACTAAAGTGAAACGAGGACAGTCATTTATGGAAGGATTAATGTTTTATGTGCAGAAGGATCGTGGTCAGAATGGATTGCTAATGGCCTTGAAACAGCATAAATGGCAAGAAAAGCTCCACCTATTTTGGCACCAGTAGTGAGTTTTGAAATTTAAATAAAGCTATGATTCCCCTTTTAAAATGATCAGTTATGGTTGACCTCAATGGACTTCAGGAAAGAGAACATCCAGGAAGGTGACACAGCCACTTTGATCAGA